AGAGAGAGAGAGAGAGAGAGAGAGAGAGAGAGAGAGAGAGATCCCACCGACGCCGGCGGCGAACGCGATGACGACGGTTCTGGCGGCGAACGCGATGACGACGGTTCCGACAGCGGTGGCGGCAGCGCGACCAACTCTCCGGGAGGGCACGCGGCGCAGCGGCGGCGTACGCCACGCGCACACGCCCGTACGTACGGAGGCACCCGTACGTACGGCCCATACGAGCGTACGTACGCAGCGTCCCGTACGTACGGCCCGTACGCCTAAACGGGCCGGTGGTCGGGCCGTGCTCGCCGACAGGGTTTTCGAGTGCCGGGCCCGTTTGGGGGGGGGGGGGGGGGGGGGGGGAAGGGGGACAAGCCTGGGCAGAAAGGGCTTTGGCGCTGTTCACTGAGCTCTGCTCCGACATCGGTGGGCTACCTGCAAGGGTACAATGGCGCCCAAGAAAGGGAGGGGAGATCAGCCATTTGTTCCGGTCAGTAAAGACAAGAAGAGGGAGGCGGAGCTGAAGTTTTGCGGCTTTAAGTGGGTTACGAAGGGGCAGACGATGCCGAATTCGAATGGCAATTTCCTCATGGAGTGCAAGCTGTGTGGTGAGGGTTTTCAAGGGAGCCAGACGAAAGCCGCACAACACTTCACGATCAAGAACAATTGCGCCAAAATCTCCGTGGAGCAGATGGCGGAGATATGGAACAAGACAAAGTACAGGTTCGATCCAAGCCATGCACGGAAGATCGTGGACTTTCTGAAGTCTCGTGGGTTGCGAGACAACAGATGTGGATCGGGGATGGAGCCGGCGGGGAATGAGGAGTTTGAGGACAACGAGGAGGAGAGGAGGGCGGTCGAGGGTGGAGATGATGATGGTGAGAGTGATGCAGAGGACATGGAGGTGCAGCGAGAGGTGGAGCGCGCCAGGGGAAAGTTGAGGAAGGAGAAGGCCGTTGACGAGGACAGCACCCCAGACGAGGACGCCGACGACGACGATGACGATGAGGGAACAGACCTTGGGGCCTCTCTGGATGGGGGGTTGATGGGCGATGGCCGTCGTGGCCAGGAGGGGGCAGCTAGGGCGATGAAGGAGGCTGCGGGATCGAAGAAGAGAAAGAGGAAGGCGAAGATGACTACCACTGAGGCGAGATCAGCACCTTCTCAGCCCAAAAAGAGCAGAGTTCTTCGACAGACGTCCATGCTGGAGACCTTCGATCCAGTGTGGCAACGAGAATTCTCGGACTCCGTCCTGCAGTGGTGGTACGGGAGCGGCATCCCATTCAAGGCGGCGAGGAGGCCAGAGTATCATAGGATGAAGAAGAAGTTGCTCGAGTGTCCGCCGTATGCACATCCGGCATTACCCATGCACCGTGTCATTTCGTGCGAAGGTAGCCCTCAGCAGCAACGAGTTGTGGCGGACATGGACCAATGGTGGCGGCCATCCGCAGGGACATTGAGGCGACGGGAGCGACCATCCTTACGGATGGTCGCAAGTCCATCACAAGCGACCAGATAGTCAACTTCCTTGCTGCTGGTCCCACGGGCGCGTACCTTTTCAGGACTGTGCAGCGGGATGGTGCTGTTCAGGAGACAGCAGAGGCCGTAGTGGAGCGATGGAAGGACGTGTTCGACAAGTTTGGTGTCGACAAGGTGAACGCCATTTGTACTGATTCCGCGTCTGCGTATGTTGCTGCGTCCAAGCTCCTCGCCCAGGAGGAAGTCAAGTACAGCCGCATCACTTGGCTTCCGTGTGCGGTCCATGTCTGCAACTTGTTGTTGTCAGACATCGCGAAGGATGGGCGCGACGGGAGCCTCGGGAAGAGGGAGGACACCATCATCAGGGCTCGAGCAGTCGTGCGTTTCATCAGAGAGCACGGGGCGACTCTGAGCCTTTATCGACGTTTCTCTGCCGCCCACCCCTCTTCCGCCTCCGCGGCGGTTGGTGGTTCGAGCTCTGCTGAGTCTGCTCCACCCTCGTCTCAGCGGCGAGGCAGGGAGCTTGTGTACCCTGTGCAGACGAGGTTTGCCACCCACTACTTGATGCTGGAGAGGCTGCTGGATCGTCGCAGAGCGTTGGAGGCGTTGATGATGAGCGACGATTGGCTGCTGACTGCATGGAGGAGGTCCATTTTTCTGCAGGCCAGATGGGTGCGTCATCAGGTGCGGTACGCGCCATTCTGGGAGCACGTGGAGGACATTGTGGCGCTCATGACGCCTGTGATGCAGTTGCTACGGCGTCTGGACAGGGGGGGTCGCGTAATGACTCGAATGTGGTCGTGGGGTTTTGTCATGGTCAACAGGGTGGCGAGAGCAAGCCTTAACAGGACGTCGAAGGACGAGCTCCACATCGTTCTTCAGGCTTGTCAGGCGCGGGTCGCTCATATGTTGGAGCCCGCACATTGCATGGCCCACCTTCTCAATCCGCGGCAGAGGAGGCTGAGGAGCATTACTTTTTTTGGAGCGGCGAGGCGTACCGACCACGAGCGGATACTAGCAGAAGAGTCGTTGCGATACCTTCTCCAGCAGACTGGTGGTGACGAGGATTTGTATCAGACGTTGCGCACGCAGCTGGCGGAGTTTCACTCTCGGGTGGGCGATTGGACGTATGGAGGGGCCGAGGGAGACAGGGATGCGGCCGCCTGCAAAGGGGAGAAGGAGACGTCACAGGTGGGGCAGTGGTGGGTTCAACACGGGGACGGGGTCCCTCTCCTTCAGAGCATCGCCATTCGCTTGTCGCACACATGGACGTGCGCCTCTCCGGCGGAGAGGAATTGGGCCGTCCATGAGCGTGTTCAGGTGAAGAGGCGTAATCAACTTGGTTTCATCAAGATGACTCGTTTGGTGGAGATATCCACCAACTTGAGATTGAGTCGTTGTCAGGGGAGGGGTCCATGGGAGGACGCTGAGGAGGAGACAGAGGACGCTATTCCTCCGCCTCGTGATGAGGGTGTTCGGCCGGCCGACCGAGTCACCGAGGCACAGCGCGACCGGCAGGTCCAGCGCGGGCGGAAGGGTCGCCTTTCAAAGGCACCTCCCAGCGTCGCGACGTATTTCGGTCGTCGCGCCACGGTGCTCATGGCGCATGAGTTGGAGTCGGTGTACGATCCCGAGCCTGATTCCATGGCTCAGGATGCGATGGAGGTCGAGCTGTGGTCCGATCCTGACGACCTGGTCGTGGAGTTAGAGCTAGGAGGTTCTGATGACGATGACGACGACACTCCTCTCATGCAGATTCTGCGTCCTCACACACGTGCGTCCACGGCGGCCGCTGCACCGTCTCCCGCAGCACGCCCTCCTTCGAGTGCTCCCGACGTCTCACAGCCAGGCCCGGCGGACCGTGTCGAGAGCAGTACGCCACACCCTTCGACCGATCGTCGCGGACAGGGAGGGACTCGCGAGCGTCTTGACGAGGGAGACGACGGCGATGGCGACGATAGGGAGTGGTATGAGGGCAGCAGTGAGGATGAGGATGATCCCTGTTATTCCCCGACACGCGGACATGGTGACGACGACGACGGCGAGGGCGGCGACGGTGGACGGGCTGTGGGTGGTTTGCGGAAGTCCGAGAGACAGCGTGGCGACCGATGCAATGGTGCAGGCAGGGGAGGCAGCGGGCCGGGTGTTGGGGGTGCAGGGCGGACGGGTGGTGCAGGGCGTGCTGGCACAGGAAAAGTAAGGCGAGAGTCTGCATCGTCCACTCGCACTGTGCATTGGGTTGATGAGGAGAGGCCCGTTGAGGCAGCTGTGGTTGCTCCCTCCCCTATGGAGGTTACTCCCTCCCCTGCAGAGTTCGCTGCGGCGTCTGCAGAGGGCGCAGCGGCGTCTGCGGAGGGTCCAGGCGGGTTTGCGGGTGGTAGTGGCGATGCTGGAGAGGTTGGGAGGCCATCTGCACAGGTGGGTGTCAGTTTCAACGACAACATTTTTAATGTTTCGTTAGGGCATCCTCCGACACCAGCAGGGGAGCGTGTCGGTGTCGATGTGGAAGCAGCGGCCACGCCCGTCAGTCAGATACTTCGTGACATACCTTCATGCAGCACGGGCGACATCAGTAGTAGCATGTTGCAGGAGGCAGCAGAGGGGGCACCGGGTCGGTCGGGGCAGCACGAGCGTGCARCTGGGGATGATGGGGAGTGTCGACCTGTGCAGGAGCGGGCGACAGAGTCAGAGCAGGACAGGATCGACCGCGAGGAGAGGAGGAGGGCGCAGGGGTTGGCTAGCCGATGCGAGATGACGCAGAGTGTTGCATTGAGGGCACGTGTAGCGCGGATGCTCGAGACGGGCGTTGAGGCAGGTGATGCAGAGGGCGAGTGCGGCGCTGCTGGCATAGGGGATGAGGGCGAGAGACCTGCGTCACCAGTTCAGGGTGTTTGCATATTGCCTCTCGGTGGGGCCATGTCGGCGGAGGAGTTGGTGCGGCAGGCATGGGAGGACCCGTTGCAGGCAGATCGCCGGGGGCGGATGACCGAGGCGTCGAGGAGACTGATGGCAGAGGCCCCGGCTTATGTGCCTTGCAGCCCGTCAGTGCCATCGTCCACCACAGGTGTCAGCACACCCGCATATGTGGAGGGCACAGTCGCGGCAGAGGCGGTACGGGGCCCCTCGCCGACACCCGCCGGGGAGTCTCCTTCGCCTCAGTCACGGAAGAAGAAGATGAGAGCAGGGAAAAGTCTAAGTACCGTGAGGAGAGTGATGCAGACGATGTGGGCGAGTCAGCCTGGGTTGGCCGGTTTACATCCGCGGACACGGGCGATTTTGAGCGGGGACGTTGTCGCAGACGCAACAGGATGGCAGGAGAGGGTCTCCGACCGAGCGACGGATCAGCCCATGAGCGCACCTGCTGAGGCGACATTGCCACATAGTGCAGGGCGTACAGCGGGCACCGGCGACCACGCCGAGCACAATGCGCCCCCCGAGAGGAGCATGGCTGCACGTATATTGCGGGAGGATGTGAGGGCAGCGACAGCGCAGCGACCGTCACAGGCGCCAGTCGTTTGGGGGTCTGGCACAGACGATTTGGAGATGCCTTATAGCCAGCGGAGGAGGGTTTCCGTGTACGATCTTCTTCGACCACAGGGAGGGGTTGAGGCGGCGCCACAGGGGGAGATTCATGCTCCGGATACTACGCACGCGCCGGCAGGCGGTACAGGCCGTGGGGATGGTGTGACAGGTGTGGTGCCGCAGAGGAGGAGGAAGGACATTGTGGACGACGATGATGCATAGTTCCACCATTAGTCTTCTTTCATCCTCTGATTTGTAGTAGTGTACAGTATATTTAGTGCTTGAGACGAGGCCTTGTGTTAGTAGGAGTAGTCTGTAGTGCTTGAGACGAGGCCTTGTGTTGGTAGGAGTGGTCTGTGCAGGTCGTCATGACTGCATTTGTATTTGTATAGGTGGTTAGACTATTGTATACTATTTCCATGCATGGGTGCAGTTTGTTTTTGTTTCTTGTTTTATTTTATCATTGATGTTGTAGAGGATTGCACTTTTTTGAGTATTTCTTCAGACACGGGCTAAGCAGGTGCAGTGCTCACAGTTTCATTTTTTGTTTCTCCTGTTATTTTTGTATCGATGTTTCTGACGATTCGACAGTTCTTTCGCATACCATTTGACTGAGTCCAGCGTGCATGTGTCTTTTATTGTTGTGTGTGTACGGTGCAGCTGTTTCGCCGTGTTCTTTCG